TCACCTTGGAAATTTATTGCTGTTCTCACTTGAGTACAGCTTTCAGTCAGCTCCCCTGCACGTCCCTGCTGCCTAGCAAAGTTCCACACAGCCCTTCAGCAGTCCCCATAGATCTAACAGGGTTTCTGGATAAGGCCTGAAAGACAACTGCGTGGTGGGAAGGAGGAAGCAGAGGCAGCAGATTATCAGCTTCAGAAATAATTCTACAATCACAAATGCCATGAAATGGGAAACAAGTCATACTTTGAGGAGCAGCTCATGGGGAAAAAAAAAAAAAAAAAAGGAAGGGAACAAGTCTTTAAAAAAATTCTCTTTGACAAACATGCAGCTAAGCAGTGAAGTTAAACTATCACAGGACAAGTGTAATTTCTCACAACCTCTCGATAAATAAAGGTACAATGGAAAAGCATTCCTATGTGGCCTTGCTACTTCTGTTTTCCTCCCTAAGCACCCACTGGTGGCTGTTAGAGATTAGATGGATGCTTGAGCCTTTTTACTGAGCTAGAGTAACTGCAATTACTTGTCTCTACCTTATCAAATGGGATGCCGTATTTCTTCAGAATCGATGGAGAGATCAAGGTCATCTTGTGACGGAGAAATGCTTCACAGCTCTGGGCACTTCCTGGAAAGAATCCTGTTTAAAATGAAGGAAAGGTATGATGTTACCACTCTGTGCTGTGAACTGGACTTATTTTTCAGTAATTTTTAGGTTAAATTTACTGTTTGAACAGCGCTTTGCCAAGGCCTAGAAGTATGGGCCAACTTATTAGGACATGAGTTTGCGCTCTGATGAAAAAGGAGATGCCTTTACCATATCCCCATTTGAAAGACAGTAAGAAAGACAACACACAGAAGGATCTTTCCCAGGCTAAAACCTTCCAGATCTAACAATCAGCAGGTAAGGATTTTCTCATTAAAACTTTTACAGACCACAGCTGCATTATTTGTAACGTGACATTTTTCTTGAGCTTATACTGAAAACAAATGGAAGTAATCCCACCTACATCCTGAAAGAAATGATCAGTTCAATCGTGCCAGCTTGTGCACTCATCAATGTTCACAGGCACGTCATACTCCAACAGAGCTGAAACCTGCAGAGGTTCCACATCCCACAATCTGAACAAGATGGGACATAAAAGAATGGCACAGTTACCTTTGGCAAGTCTCTCCAGTCGCTTGCCATGCTCTGGAGGAATAGAGTACCTGCAGTCAGAAGAACAAGTTTGTTAAGCTCAATTGACACAACAGAATCTCATCTCCACACTGTCTCCTTCAAAGTTTGATGACATAGAGACAAAAATCTTTATCAATGAATTTCACCTCCCTTCTCAAGGAAAACTGAGAGAAAGATGACTTCTGTGGACTTCTGCTTAGCAGCCAAGGAAATAATAATTCCAATTCATTTAATTAGCAGATCTGTGCAGCAAGGCACATAGAAAAACACTCAGTGACCCGATTTCACAGGAACACAACCACTAGTATGCCTAGTATAAGAAGAAACACAGAGCAAAACAGAAAATGGAATAACATCTTCCAGCTGCTCAGACCAAGACTGGACTAAATCACGCAGTGCCACATCCTCCACCTGCACAACTTGGATGTGTTTGGCAGTACTCCTTCTCTCTCTGCATACACCTTTTTATGCGTGCCACAAAACTCCAAGCTGGTTTGGCTACAGTAACTAAAACCACTCACATTTCTTTTGACCTGGGACAGAGCGCTATAACCTGCTGACTAAATCAGATTAACCTATCAGCAATGTTAACTTTCCCCACTTAATACTGTAAAAGAAGCAACAGCCAAAAGGTTTCATTTGACTCAGCTACTCTGTTCTCTGTTCCCATGTCATTGCCACGGCATGGGGCTGCTCGCTGCTCACATGGTGCTAGCTATTATTTCTGACTTCAAAGTTGTATTAAAAGGCAGCCAAAAAGACTAGTTTCCAACAAAACTGCCATGGAAACAATTGTTGAAATTGTTTGAGAAATTCACTTGTGAACAGAAGGGAATGATTCACTCTTCAAATGCAACTCATACGAGAGAAAAATTCAGGAATCCTCACTAAAAACCATCACGAAGGCTCTGACGCTGGACAACTGCTCAGCAAAACCCACTGCTCTGCTTTTACCTCTATGATAAGTAGCTAAATTTCAAAGTCTGTTAAAAACAACAGGCGTATTACTTCTACCTGGCCACTGTAGAGCTCAGGAAATCTCAGGAAAAGCAAGATTTCCAGGTTCCAGCTCTATCACACCAGAGAGTGTCCAGCTTACATTATAATTCTGAAGAGCTCTTTGCATCAGAACAGCAATTACACTTTCAAGAAGGAAGCCAAACAAATTTTACTGAGGCCACGTACTGGTTTCAGCTTTCTCACAAGTTTCTAACGCTTTTGTCACCAGATATTACTGCACTGCAAGATAGCAGAGAGTATTTTCAACTCTCATAGAAAAAAATACCAGAAAATACAGGTGTCAAAGTGCTAAATTTGCATCTAGAAGCTATCATAGAAAACCTTACCAGGACTTAGGCTCCCCAAAATGCAGGTAATTAATACTGTAGAGATCCATGTCCTCAGTATGCCAAGCAAATGAAGTTTTCCACATGCCAAAATAGAGGTAAGGAGTATTCACTCCTTCAATGGTTATGCCACTCTCATTCTCCACAACATCCAGGATCGTGTTCAATCTGCCAATATTCCATGCATCCACGTGCTGCAAAACACAAGCCTTGTGTTAAACAACCAATACATAGAACCGAACCACACAACTGAGACAAGTCACAGAAAGTTATCAGTTATGCTTGTGATCAAGTGGCACATCACGACAAGTCATTTTCTGGCACAGCTCAAATTGTCAGCTAGTTCGCCTACACCAAGTTTCCCCACAGTGTAACCTTACCTACAGATTCTCTACCAGACAATAAAAGAAGCACCTGGTCAATACAGAAAGGATCAGGAGGAGAAATAGTCACAGAGTTACAGACTTCACACAGTGCAGAACAATAGTGCAAGCCTGAGCTGACAGCAGACCAAAACCTCTTGAAGAACAGTTATCCCAAACATCTTCCAAAAAGGAGCAAGTTATAATTCAAGAGGCTAGCAACCAGACTGTGTAACCTTTTCAAACGTTTAGCATGCTAACACACACAGTGACCACAGAACTGTCATATCAAAACAAAAGCACTAGAGAATACCTAAGCAGTGCATGTTCACTGCCTAACACTTATCAGGATAACACACCATAAGAGCACAAGAGTGGATCTTGCATTTCAGAAGCAAGCTGTACTACACTGAGTCATAGAACGGCCTGGGTTGAAAAGGACCATAATGATCATCTAGTTTCAACTCCCCCTGCCATGGGCAGGGTCACCAATCATTAGACCAGGCTGTCCAGAGCCACTGAAGTGTGAACAGTGCTCACAGAGGTGCCCCAGAACATTACCTCTAGAAGCTTTCTTTAACTACCTGGTTTACATGGAAAGTGTTACTGTCACTAACTCCTTTTGGTAGCTAGCCAAACGCTGTGTTGGCCTTTATAGAAGGCAGTACAACACATACAAGGATAAGTGCTACTTGAAAACCAAAACAGTGCTTACCTTGTCATAAAGCGTGCCATTAACATCAGCACCATAGATGGGGGCGTTGAACGTAAGGTTCTTCCAGTACTTTCGTTCAAGGTCTTCAAAGTCTGTGTAGCGAGGTGTGCAGTACCTTAAAAACATCAACCAAGGGCTCAGCATTGGTACTTGAGGAGTTTAAAACAAGGTTCTCCACCAATGAAAAAAAAAACAAACAAAAAAGATACAACAAAAATAGCAAAAGCACCAGAGAGAGCCCTCCATCCCCCGAACAGCAGCCACAGCTCCGATCCCAAGGGACTCAGGAACAAAGGAAGAGAAGGAAAATGCTTCTCCCCCACTCTCAGCCTACTTTCAGTTTTGGTTAGCGCACTTCCCTCAGCTCAGCACAATTTCCCTTTCTACTGCTGCGCCTCGTGTTTGTAAGCAAAAGATAAAAACAAAGTTTTAAGCGACTGGAAAGGAACAGCCCTACTTCCCTACTCCCTGCTAGCGAACTAGCTGAGCTCACCAATGAGACGCCCGCATGTTCCACCCGCTGCTGTTCTGCACGCTAAACAAAGAGCACGGTCTCTCAGGGCAGAACGGAGGATCAAACTCAGCACCGAACGCCTTCCACACAAGGACTCACAGCTCCCCAAGCAGCGGCTCCGCGCTGCCCCCCGGGCACAGAGGCACAGCTCGGGACGCTCCTTACTTGTCGCTGTTGGCGATCCGACGGAACTCGCGCACCGTCATGGCCTTCTTCTGGATGTTGTACTGCGTGAAGAGCCCGGACTGCCCGGTCACCACCTGCTGGATGGGCGCGGGGATCACCAGCTCGTCGATGTCGTCGTAGCACTTCCGCGGCTTCCACTCCTTGGGGGGCACGATCTGGGGGAGAGGTACGGGGTCGAGGTGACGGCCCGGCCTGCCTGCCTGCCTGCCTGCCTGCCTTCCCTCCCCGCCCACCCCCCGCCACACAAAGCGCAGTCCCCGCACCCCTCAGGGCCCGCTTCGCCCCGACGCACCTTGGCCAGCCCGGCGCGGTGCGCTCCCTGCGCCTCCACGTACGCGATGTAACGGCTGAAGTCCCGGAACTGCTCCATGGTGGGGCGGAAGGTCATGATGCGCGCGCTGGGGTTGAGGCTCTCCAGCTCCGAGGCCATGGTGCCGGGCCGCCGCTGCACGGAGGAAGGGGTTGGGGGGAGGAGGGGGCGCGGTCACAGCGCGCACTGCCCCGCACCCCGCGAGGCCCCGCCCCACGCCTCGCGCGCACGCCCCGCCTCCTCCCGCTGGCCAATCGCCGCCGGATCCGCACCGGCTCTGCCTCTCCATTGGCGGAGCGCACCCGCCCGTCAGGGGCTCCTTCCTCCTCGCGGCGCAGAGCTGCGCTGCTTCACGCCCCTCCCCCCAGCCCCGGCCGGGCCGGGCCGGTCCCGACGAGGAGGGCTGCGAGTCCCCGCCCGGCGAGCTCACGTCAGCTCCGCGTCCCGCTTCTTCGCCTCTTCCGCCCTCCCCCCTGCTCTCCGCCACGCCGCCGTATCGTTCCGCACTCCGCGCCCGGTGAGTCCCGCAGGCCGCCGCCGACGCCACCGCGGCCGATCCCCGCCGCCCGATCCCCGCCCTGCTTCCAAGCCACGCCCCCTACCCACCGCCCCGCCGCCCCGCCTCCGGCGCCGCAGCCAATCGCTTCCCGATCTCCCTTTCGCAGCCAATAGGAATTCGACGTCCGTTCGGGGCGGACCAACGAATCAGGAGGCCGGGAGAGGGGAGGTTGCTAGGCGGACTGTGGGCGGCCGCGGGCCGGACCGGAGGCCGTCGCTAGGGGGCGGCTGCTAGGGGGCGGCTGCTAGGGGGGCCGCGGCCTACTCGAGGCGGGCGTGCCGGGCCCGCTCCCCGTGCCCAGCCTGCGGCGCGCCCACCCGAAGCGGCTCAGCTGTCCTCGGAGACCGAGCTCGTGGGCCGGCTGCGTGTTTCTCCTCAATCTATGATTCCCTTTGGTGTCTCGCTTACAGGCACCATCAACTTTGATTGGTGGGATCCGAATTCTCCCTGCTCTCAGATATGACCCAGGATAGAAGGAGAAGAAAGAAAAAAAGTATCTTGCTGGCAAACTGGAAACTTCACACAGCCGAATGGCAGTGTTGCTGACAGCAAGAAAAGCCAGCACTGCAGGGGAAGAAGTTGCCAAGCAGAGATAAGGGCAGCTTTGCTTGGTGGTGCAGCTGCTGCTTTTCCCTGTTTTGTAACTATTTTGCCCTTGAAAACAAACAAATAAAAAAAAATGAGCCCCAAAAGGCAAGTTTTGGAGCAGTGTATTATTTAGCAACACTAGCAAGCAAGTCAAGCCTCAGCAGGGCTCACGTAGCTCTCTTGTTATGGGTACCAATAGAATGAATAGAGATTAACAGGAGCACCGAGCACCTCAGTGCCCATTAACTCACCTTTGGCTGGCTGCCATTTATCTGCTCTCTCACCTGCCAACCTGCTCACTTTCTACAAATCTAGCTCTTTACAAAGCTTATCTGAGTAAGCATTAGGGCTACCGGCTAAAAATAAGGAATAGAAAATTTTCACTAGGATAAAAACCCCAACACAACAGCATTAACAATCCAGATCCACTCCTCAGTGCAAATGTGATCAGTCTGTAGGAGAGGTTCCAAAAGAAAGAGGCCAAATGCCTCCTTACTGCAGCATCTTGGGACAACTCTCAAGGTTTGAAGCATGATGAAGTCAGGCTGTTATCAAGAGAGGGAGCGACCTCAAACTGGTACTGTAGAAAATGGGACAGTTCTGCCAGCCAGACTAAATTCTTTTTGGCCAGGGAAAGCTGAGAAATGCAGTGCCGAGCATTGGGCCTGGACAGCACAGCTCGTCTGCCTGGAGTACAGCAGTAGCCATTGTGCTGGGCCGAGGGTGGGCATCATTGTCTGTCAGGGGTATGCGATTATAGTCATTTATTTTTTCCCCCTTTTTTTGTGAGATATACTGAGATAAATGGAAGTAAGTGCTAAAAGAGTAAGTGCTTTCAAACTGCTGTGTTTGTTCCCAATACAGTCTGTGCTGAGACGACGATTCTTTGTTGCTTCTCTTTTTACCCATGCCATCAGTACTGCCCGCCAAAAAGACACCTCACATGTGGCAAGCAGAGAAGCGGAGCCTGCAGTGCTGGTGAACTGGGAGTGTTCTTTGCAACTGTGTTTTCCTTGGGTTGGTTGTGAAGGGTTTGGACTAAGAACAAGGTATGAAAAGGGGAGAGGAGCCCCAGATGTTCTTGTAGGATACGCGTGCACTTAGAGAGGTTTCCTGGCAGCTGTTTTCTCCATTGACCGCAGTAGCAGCATTGGAAACCATCCATGGACTGATGGTTCACGTTGTGCATGTGGCATTGCCCAGTCAGTGCTCAGCGAGCAGCACAGTGGTGTGGCAAAAGCATCATCAGCCGTAGTTCAGAGGCACAGCCAAAGCATTTTTGCTGCAGCACAGGTGGGTGCTTGCTACCTGCTTTCCAACTGGCTGGCTTCCTAAAATGCAACAGTTAGCATCGCGTCTTTCTTCCCAAATGCACCCAAGAGATGAGCAGGTGTGTGCTCAGCCACGTAGCACAACCATCCTGGGCCTTGGCAGCAATGCAAAGCAAAGCTCCCCGACGCCAGCGGTGCTGATGTGTGCCTGTGCACACACACCTGTGCACGTGCTTTGCATCACAAGGAAGGACAAGGGTTTGCTTTGCCCTCAGATCTGCATCCTCAAGTGGAGTTGCCCCACAGTAGAGGGATGGGAGGGCTCCACCAGCCTCAGGTCACCCCTGGAGGAAGTGTTGGGTTTGCACCAGGTGGGCAAGTGGGAAACACTGGCTGACAGTCATATTTAGAGCAAGCAGAGCCACACAAAGCATGCCTGAAGTGGTTTCACACCTGAGTGTACTCCAGTACTGCTCTGCAGGCAGGGGCCAAGTGGTTTCACTGCTCAGCAGTACTTTGCACATGCAACTGTGCTCAGTACTGCAGAATGGCATTAGTGCAGCGTTGTCACAGAAGGTCCCCAAGCTCTCTGCTGGCACATGTGCCCTGTGGGAAGGATGGGGCACCCATGGCTGCAAACTGCCTGTGGAAAGGGCCTCTCTGGCACCAGGCTGGGCAGTGTGCCCATGCATCACAGAGGGACTCACCGCTTCTGCTTATTGCTGAAGAAACAGACAGCAAAGCCAGCTTGTATGAAACCCGATTATTCAAATTTATTAACATCAAGAATTATGCAATGATGCTGTAGATTTTTTTTTTTTTATTAACAAATAGAAAACAGACTGTATACAACAGTGACCCCTACAGCACTATGCATCCACAAGGTAAAAATGAATGTGTCCTCCAACATTACCAACCCTGGATTGCTGATTTCAACGTAGCTTGGATTCTTAACATTCGGAATACATGTGATAATACAATTAGATACCCTTCCACCACCTTTATTCATAACTCAATGCACTCGAAAGAGGGCTGCTCACTCTGTCTTTAGTGCAAGCGTGATATAATAAGGAGTATTAATATATAGTACCATTAAATTAAGTCCAGTAGTCTTGCCACATTGGTTCATTAGAACGTCCTGAAGTAAAGTACAATATTCTAATGACTTTTAACATTTGCAGGATAGCAGAAATTATAGAGACACCCATCCTCTGAAGCCATGTGTGCTCCCCCTCCCCTTCCCTGCAATACCCTGCCTCCAGAGAGAGCCTGCTTGGCTCCGCTCTGGGAACAGCCGGGGTTGTGCTCCTTGTAAAATGCTCCAGTGCACTTCATTGGTGAGAAGTGACAGGACGGCGCTTGCACGCACAGAGCCGCGGGACTGACAGAAAGGGCCGTGTCCCTGCGTGGGACCTGCTCGCTTCTCCTGCCCCCTTCCCAGCGAGACACAAAAAGAGGCTCCCAGGCCAGGAGCCCATGATTTCGGGTCTCTCACAAACAAGGTGACGACAACTCACGTCATATCGGGATCTGCCAATACACGCGGTCACTGGATTGGTTTAACACGCATTGTAGTAGGACTGAACGGTTTCCAGCTGACAAATGGGACCGCCTCTCCAGCGACCCTACATGCCCTCCCAAACCTACTCAGGAATTAATGGGGGAAGGGAAAGGCTAAAAAAATAATTGGTAGCTTAGGTCCAGTTCCATGAAATTTCATATTCTACAGAGAATTAAAAAGCAGCCTAAGGGGAATGGAGCCGGGCAGGAACCACAAGCCAGCTGCTGCAAATTACCAAGGAAGCTGCACTAAAATGGGCAGAACCAGCAGTGACTGGGCTGAAATAAACATAGGGCAGTAAAAAATGTTAAAGCAAAAGGAAATTAAAAAAAAAAAAAACCAACAAACAAACCCAACTCCCAAAAGTTTGGCGGGTCCAGTTCTGCCTCAGCAAAACATTAAGACTTGCAAAAAAATAAAAAATAAAAAGAGAGGAGATTATAAAAACCACTAGTAACTATTTTACATGTTTAAAAAAAAAAGACCCCATTCCACCCACCTAAAGCCTCGCTGTGAAATGCAGTCGCGTGAGAGAGGGCGAGAGATGCGTATGAGCAGAAATGCAGCCAGAGACTGGAAATGCTTTTGGAGTTGGATTCCCTCGTTTGGCGCTGGGGCGAAGTTCCTAAATGCCGTGGTCAGAACTGGTTGGCATGGAGGTCTGCTGCCTGGGCAGCACCTCGGTCTGTACAGAAGGACTGAGGAATGGGCGGCTCTGGCTCAGAGGGATCCGTCTCCACTCCTAGACATCCCCACCGCGACTGGAGGAAAGCACTAGTTACGTTGCATAGTGGTCAAAGCTGCCGAGATACTCCAGTGCCGCTCTGTAGCACAGCTGGTACTGGTCCTGCAAGGCAATGAGGAGAGAAGCGTGAGGCCAGATTGGATGGGGCCCTAGGCAGCCCGGTCTAGCATTAAATAGGGAGGTTGGTGGCCCTGCATGTGGCAGGGGGGTTGGAGATCCGTGATCCTTGAGGTCCCTTCCAACCCTGGCCATTCTGTGATTCTGTGAGAAGTGGGGATGCAGGAACCTCATCCCGAGATGCTGGCTCCCCTCCCTTTTCCACGGATCTCCCAGCACTCAGGGTGGCACGGCACTCACCTCTGTCTGCACCATGGCCGGCCGCTGCGTCCGCAAAGTCTTCACCGTCTGGAACATGTCCACCACCCCCTCGTAGCGCATCCTCTCCAGCACGATGCTCAGTGTGATGAACACGCCTGTGCGCCCGACCCCAGCGCTGTGCAGAGGGAGCAGGAGGTGAAGTTAGAGACCTACCAGCCTCAGTGAGAGCTGCCCACCCTGCACTGTTCCTTGGAGCAGTGCCAGTATGCCCAGCCAAGTGGGGCCAAGAGAGGCTACGGGGACACTGCCAGCCAGAAGTGCCCTGTCAGCCTCATGGGGGACCACAGATTCTGTCTTTCTGGATCAAGCACCATCCCCTGACCAAGAATTCTTCTAAGGAACTTCACATCAGAAGCAGCAGGGCACTGCCTTGATCTCATCTGGCAGAAATGCTGTCAATGACATCCAGGGATAACACCTCCTCGTCCCCTGCTTGCCTCTTGCAGCATGCAGCTGCCAGGTTCAGCAAGGAAGGGGTTATCTCCATGAGTTCTCTGCTGCAGGCAGAAGTGGGTGCTGCCCTGTCCCCACTCACCTGCAGTGCACCGTGATGGGCCCGTCCTGCCCAAACTGCTCCTTGGTCTTGTGCACCTGCCCGATGAAGTCGATGAAGCCCTCTCCTGTCTTTGGCACTCCCTGCTCAGGCCAGTCTGTGAACTGGAACTGGCGGATGGTCCGTGACTGGCCATCCTGTGGGGACAGGGTTGTTACATGGAAACCATAGGTAAGGGGACAGTGAGATGTGCTTGCTTTGCTCCCCTTTGTTCTGGTAACTTGCTCCCTGACCTCTCTGCTCCCATTTTGGGCCCAGCTCTAGGGGATCCTATGTTAAACCCTGGCCTATATGTGCAGTGCAGGCAAGGCAGGACCTGGTATTAATAGAGATCGATGAGCTGCTCACAGGAGCCAACACAGCTGGCAAGGAAGGAACTTGTGGT